GCCCTGGTCGGAGACCTGGTCGTCGTGGACGATGGCGATGGCTCCGACGGCGGGTGGGCCCCTGGCCGCGCCTGCTGGCACTCCCGTCGGGAGGTGCTCGGGCACCCTTCTCCTTTTCGGGCTCGCGCCCGAATCGCCTAGCCGTGCCCACGCGCTAGTCGCCGCGCCTGATGGAAGCTCCTCTTCCTCGTCCTCCTTCCCCTCCCGTCCTCACCCTCTTCTCCTGCTGCTGTGGCTGCTGCTGCTGCTCCTCCTCCTCCTCCTCCTCCTCCTCCTCCTCCTCCTCCTCCTCCTGCTCCTCCTCCTCCTCCTCCTCCTCCTCCTCCTCCTCCTCCCTCTCCTCCCCCTGTTGTCGTCTTCGCTATCGTCCTCCTCATGCGGGAAAGTGAGGAGAAGAATCAGGAATATGATTGTGAACGCTCGGGCGGCGCGTGTCCATACGTATCTCTTTGAGCGTTGGTAGAGCTCGCCTATAATACATGTGATCGCTATGGTGCTGCAAATGTCTTGCGCAACTCTTCCCTTTCACGCGCTTTCCGTTCATCCCAGGACAGGTTCCCACAAAGGGAGTTTCGCCAAAGACATCCTCGCCAGATCGCGAGCTCGGGGGTAGTATCTAAGACGTAGCATGCTACAACTGAACGTGTCGCCTAAGACATCCTCGAAACATGTGGGTGCTGAAATCGCTGTCCTAATCTTCAGACCTTCAAAATATGGCAGCTTCGCCTAGGACCTCCTCGGAAACATGAGATGCGCTAAGAGCTCTTGTCAGGCATCTTTCCGGGGCGCTCTTGAATGACCTCCAAGCCTCCTCGTCGTCCTCCTCCTCCTTCTCCTCCTCCTCCTCCTCCTCCCCGTAACCCTCCTTCTCCTTCCTCGTCCTTCTCCTCGTCGTCCTACCTCTCCCCCTCCTCCTGCTGCTGTTCCTCCTTTTCTTCGTCCCTTTCCCCTTCCCCTCCTTACCCTCTTCTCCTGCTGCTGCTGCCGCCGCTGCTGCTGCTGCTGCTGCTGCTCCTCCTCCTCCTCCTCCTCCTCCTCTCCCGGTCGGCGTCTTCGCCGTCGTCCTCCTCATGCGAAGGAATGAGGAGGATAATCAGTAATATGCTTGTGAACGTTCGGGGGCACGTGTCCATACGTATCCTTTGCGAGCGTTCGGAGAGCTCGCATATAATATGTTCGATGACGATGATGCTGCAAGTTCTTGCGCAACTCTTCCCTTCCACACGCTTCCCGTTCATGTCGGGAAAGGTTCCCAGATTGAGCGTCTCGCCTGATACATTCTCGTGAATTCGCGAAGTTGGAGGCTCTATCTTGAAACGTATTTCACTAAACATGAGCGTCGTGCCTGAGACATCTAAGGAAACTGGGGATTTTGAGATCGCTGGCTCTATCTTTGGAACCTGGAATATGGGCGTTTGGCCTGAGACATCCTCGAACAAACAAGTATGCACAAACAGCGGTTCTAAGACAGTTGTTCGGAGCGCTCTTGGATGACCTCGAAGATGGCCCCAGGAGTAAAAATACTGAAACACATAGGTATATTAATATTTTGTTTACATGAAATCGCTTCGCTCGGGACATTCTCATAAACATGCCTTCGGACGGGTCGTCGAAGCCATCAGACTATGATGGAGATGCCAGTGATGTTGACGATTATGGTGATGATGACGATGATGATGACGCTGATACTTGATGATCTCGTTGCGGGATCTTGCGTCTGCGTAGTCATCTGAAGGCTTCGCGCGTGTCGCGTACGTAAGTCCCGCAGTATTGAATTTGGAAGGGTCGCGTATTCCCCGAAAAGGTCATTTCGCCTGAGACATCCTCACACAAGTGAGATTTGGAGGCGTTTACTTTCAAGACGTCTTATGTAATAAAGTGAAGCTTTCGCTGCAGACATCCTCCAGAAATTGAAATATTGAAATCGCTTTCGAAATGCTCCCTCTTCGGAAATGAAGCCCTCGCCCTCGAACAAGTGCAATGTAAGATCATGTTTTGAGGACATCGTGAACCCTCCATTGTGGAAGTCTCCACGCTGAATTTCCTTAACGCGGAATCTCCACGTTAACGGACGTAACGTGGAGACTTCCACGTTGACTCCGCAACGGGGATCACCACGTTGTCCTCCGAGGATACGAGGCGAGACGGAAAGAGAGACCGAGAGAGAGAGAGAGAGAAATGGAGATTAGGGTGATGATGGTGGTGAAGATGATGACGATGATGTCACGCCTAGTTGTTCGATTTCTCAAAACAAGGTCTTCGCTCGAGACATCTTAAACGATTACCTTCGAACGGGTCTTCGAAAATTTGGAAATCATTTAAAACCATTGTGTTCCTCAACATCGGCCCAAGAAGTCGCGGCCGCTTCCCAAGAGGCAGAATGTCATCCCAAATTCGTGTTTGATTGTCCCGCGGCCCGATGATGGCCCACTCGAGGGTCGAAATCGAAGAAAAGCCCGCCGGCTGAGAACATCACATCGCCGGAGATCTGGGGCCGTTGCAATGCAGATCGCAGGATGAAGTCTCTTCTCGTCCTCGCACGCAGCCAGGAAGAGTTCGTAGATCAATCACCTCTCGCCCGCAGCCTGCTGTACAAGCTGTGAGTGAGCAGCCTTTGCAGGCAGATACAGCGCTTCCTGTGGGGCGCCTGTTAGCCCCTTGACCGAGTTGTGCAAACAAAAACAGAGCACGAGCCTCGGGATTGCCGTGAGTCTGAACTGACGAGCGCGTTCCACTACTCGCGAAGTGACTACTCGCAAATGGCCTGGATCTGCAGAGGGGAATCTACGATACCTTGAGTCGCGACGAACATGTGCTGCTCGAACATCTGCGAGCGAGTAGTGGAGCGCGCTCGGCAATGTCATGTCTCTTCTCGCCCTCCTCCTGCTGCTGCTCTCCACATCGAGGGCTGCAGCCGGCGCCCCCGGGCTGCCTCGAGGCCAGGAGCAGGTGGTCCTCGCGGGTCGAGGCCGGCACCCCTCACCCCTCCTCCTTCGAGCCTCGAGCTGCGGGCAGGCTCCCCCGCCTCTCTAAAGGGGCCCCAGGACACACAAATGAATACACACAAATCCAAATATGCCCCACATCTTCCCATATTTGGGGGGCTTTCGTCTTCCCCCCCACTTCACATCTTTTCCCATATTTTCCGTGGAATCGACGATCAATGGTGTCTGTGTGTTTTTTCCCTCCTGACTCTCACAAGCACGACGGACAATTTTCGGCTGCTTTCGGCCTCCCTGGGCCCTTGCCGGGCCTCGGGGCCGTCCACAGACAAAACGAACGGGGATGGAGGACCGGCCCCGGGGAACGGGGCGACACCTCCTGGGGGGCCGCGCTTCAAACAGAACTCACGGCGTCGGGGCTCTGGGTCTGTCGCTCACTTTCCGCCCGGGGGAGGGGCAGAAAGTCAGGCAGGAACGCGGAGGAGAAGGCGGGAACGACCGAACGGCGCCTCCAGGCTGGACCCCCCTCCCATGCCGCCAGGAGCGCGCGGCGGCGGCGCAGGAGGCGCCGCCAGGGGGGGGCCAGTGCCGAGCCAAGAAATCCGCGCGGACCTCTGAATATCTATGCTACTGCAGCACTTTTTGCCGGGGACAAGACTTTTTTACAGCTGTTGCAGCTCGTCGAAGCCAGCCTCTTCATTCCTCCTCTCTCTCTCTCACACATCCCTCTTCCATCCTCCCTCCTCCTCCTCCTCCTCCTCCTCCTCCTCCTCCTCCTCCTCCTCCTCCTCCTCCTCCTCCTCCTCCTCCTCCTCCTCCTCCTCCTCCTCCTCCTCCTCCTCCTCCTCCTCCTCCTCCTCCTCCTCCTCCTCCTCCTCCTCCTCTCGCCTGCATCTCTCCACCCGCCTCGTCATGCCCTCCTCATCCTCGTCCTCCTCCATCCCTTGTCCTTACACATAACTCATCCCTGTCGCACCCCTACACGCGTCGGTATGGCGGGCGTTTCGCCTAAGACCTTCTCACCATGTATGAACCTCACAATCTGGCAATTCGCAACCGTCTCACAGATGGAGGGCGGGCCGTTTTCAAAATGTAGCTCTCGCGTTAGCGCCGCGCACGGTCGTCGTCACACTTTGAAACAGCTTCCCAGAAGGAGGCGAATCGTTTCAAAATGTGGCTATCGCCTTAGTGTCACGCGCATTCGTCTTAAAAGTCTCCAGCCGCTTCACGGATGGAAGGCGGTACCTTTTTCAAAATGTTGCTCTCGCCTTAGCGCAGCGCGCATTCTTTTCAAAACTTTCATCCAGCTTCAAGGATGGAGGGCGGTCCCTTTTCAAAAGGTTGATCACGCCTTAGCTCCGCGCCCATTCGTGTCGAATGGTTACTGCAGTCCAAGGATTCGTATAGGTGAAGCCCCAGGAATGATGTTCTGAAGCGACTTCGCACTGCCAGGACACGACAAGCAATTCGAATCGTGGTGTTGAAGTCCCAGGAGTGGTGTTCTGACACAACTTTACATTACCAGGACGCAGCAGTCACGTTGAATCGCGGCGTTGCAGTCCCAGGACTTGCATTTTGGCGCCATGGAGGATTTTCAAACGAGTGTCCTCTAATTGGGTACTTCCCGCAGTGAAAACAAAATATCGTCTCGGGCCTATGAAGGAGGACCGTGGAGTGAGGGTATCTTGCAGCATCGTTGATGTGTCTCGGGTTTACACTGGTCCTCCTCTTCCTCCTCACCCTCCAACTCCCCTTCACATCCTTTATCCCGCCACCTTCATACTTTCCCATCCTGCTGCCTCTTCCTTCCCTCTTCCTCCTCCTCATTTTCCTCCTCGTCCACCCCCCTCTTCCTGCTTCCGCTTGCTCCTCCCATAGCTCTATCTCCTCCTCCTCCTCCTCCTCCTCCTCGCACTCCTCCCTGATGTTTCAGCCCTCCCATGGGCTTTTGGTTGGGAGGATGGCGCCAAGGGGCAGGTGCGTAGAAGAAGGGAGGAGAGGAGGGTGGAGGCGGCGGAGGAGAGGGAGGCGGAGGGGAAGGAGGGGATGGGCATGGGCTGGCACAGGAGGAGGAACAGAAGGAGAAGGGGGACTGAGGGGAGAGGATAAGGCTGGATGTGAGGAGGGAGCGTGGCTCGGCAAATTTCTCATCCGAACGTGCCGCAAGCCCAACCAAACTCGCTGGCGTCTTGTTAAAACGGATTGCAAGGCGATCCTCGTCGCCTGATGACTGCGCGCACACAAGAGGGTGGGTGGAGGGGGCGGCGCGAGGGGGGAGGGGCTTCCAAGAGGGCGGGGGGCTTACTAGTCTGCATGGGCCTTCTTCGAACGACCCGGGGGCTTCTAAGAGACCCCTGCCCCCGTCGGGCGTTGGCAAGGCTGGGTTTAGTGTGACATGGTTTCGTGATGTGTACCGGGGGACGCCCCCGCCGTCCCATTCCACTAACCGGAACTGCCGTCACAAGAATAATACCAGCTACGGAAGACCTGGTTTAGTGATTCCAATCAATATTTTGGACTTCGGGGCCCAATCATTAACCGGCTCCCCTCAACCGGGGCCCTGGCTATATCCAACACCTGCCTTCTCGGAAGCTGCCCCGCCTCCTTAGGAAAGCGCCCCCCTCGCGCCATTCCACTGTGCACGCTGCTGGTGCAAGGCGGTTCTCGTCGCCTAGTAGACCAGCTTCGTCGCGCCCACGCGGTGGGCCTTCGGGATCGGCTCCATCAGGGCAGCCTCCGACTTGCTCTTGTTGAAGTACAGCTTGACCTTGCCGATCTCCTCGACCCTGTTCGCGGGCGGGGCGTATTCTTCGCACTTTCGGCCTCGCGGCCTGGACTCCTCGACCGCAGCCGGTGGATACAGGAACCGCTCGGCGCGGATGCCCCGCGCGGAGCGCATGCACGGGATCGCGTATCCATGGGCTCTTGCGCCCCCTGTGTCCAGAACGCGAGAACATGGATATGGCCCACTCCGGAAACCCTGAGCCAAAAACGTTGACGTCTCACTTCTGCTTCCGTCGGCTTCCGCTGACCGTCCGCTGGCGGGCCCGCCACCGTCTGACTTCCGCCGCCCTCCGCCAGCCTTCCACAGGCTGACGCTTAAGTCGGGCGTGTCCCCCTACAGGGGGATCTTGGACGAAAAACAAAGAAAAACCTTGAAAAATATGCCCCCCCTAAAACTGAAAATAGCCAAAACATCGTCCCCAGACTATTTTTTACTATTTTTGAACTTCCCCCCTGTAGAGGGACACGCCCGACTCAAGCTCACGCCGAGGACAAGGGAGCGCCGCACACAACATGGACATCATCGTCGCCCGTGGCCTGCTGTAGCCGTAGTCCCACGGGAAATCTCCCGTTCCCGCGGCCGGGTGCGGGGAGTAGTCGGCCAGCGGAGGGGGCGGCGCCGACCTGATCGCCGCGGGCGTCGGGATGCCCCGCGTCTCGAAGTACCTCGGGTTCACCCAGACCTCGGAGGGGGAGAACAAAAACTGCACGACCATACAAGCGTTGGAGGTCCGTGCGGACTTCGTGGGTCGGCGCTGGACGCCCCTGGCGGCGCCTCTGGCGCAGCCCCTGGCGTGCTTCGCGCGCCAGGGAGGAGGTTCCAGCGCCAGTCAATGGAATCCGCGCGGAGCTCCGAACATTTACTCTTGCGCTGCTTCCTCTTCCTCGAGGACCTCGTCCCTGAACCCGTAGCGCGGCTCCACGTGGTTGATCCAGTACGGGTCGAGGCCGCCGATGTTGGAGGAACGAAAAACAGCATACATACAATCTTTCGAAGGTCCGCGCAGATTTCTCGGATCGGCGCTGGACTTCCCTCCCTGACGCCTGACGCGCGGAGCGCGCCGGGGGCGGCGCCGGAGGCGCCGCCAGGGGGTCCAGCGACGATCCAAGAATTCCGCGCGGACCTCCGACAGTTTATATTAGTGTTGTTTTTTCTTCTTCGAGATGTGCGTCAGGCTGGCGTTGTGACAGATCTCGAAGATGAGCTCCTCTGTCGCGTCCCTCGACCTCATTTGCACGTACGGCTCTGTTCCACGCCCCGCACGACGGCCGTCGAAGCGGACGAGGACGACGCCAAACTCGAGGAAGCTGCCAGAGCCCAGCAAGGTCTCGTTCAGGATCTCGGCCTCGTAGTTGCCGCTGTGAAGATTCCAGAAGTCGATCGTCTTGCGCCCGCCCATCTCGGCCATGAAGGCTTTCATCGGGTGGGCGTGGATCATGTGCCCACTCAGCATGTCGATGTTGCCGTCGGTGTCGAAGCCGAGCTTTGTAGAGTTCTCGTGCGGGGAAATGCAGCCCAGGAAGAGCCAGGCCTTGCGCCACTTGCTCCAGAGGTTCATGTAGAAGTAGGGGCGGGGCTCCATGATGAGGCCGCGCCAGCCAGCAAGCTCAAGCAGGAGCGTGTTGCTGTTGATCTCGCCGTCCCCAGCGTTGGAGTCCACGTAGAAGCCATTGGTGACGTTCTCGAAGACCTGCGTCAGCAGTTTCACGTCCTGCTGGGCGCTGCTGAAGCTCTGGATGTTGTCCCCGCTCTCCAGGCTGTACTCCCACTCCTGCACGGGGGAGACAACAAAAGCGTCACGAGCATAAATTGTCGGAGGTCCGCGCGGACTTCTTGGATCGGCGCTGGACCCTGGGGCGGCGTTGGAGGCGCCGCTGGGGAACCCAGCGCCGATCCGAGAAATCCGCGCGCGGATCTCTGGAAGGTTCTGCTTATGCATTTTCTCTTGACAAGGCCAAATTTGACATTTACGCGAGCCCCCCCCCCTTGGAAACATCTCGAGAAAACAAAACTATACCAACTAACTTCAGGACGCGGGACCGTCAAAAAGCATCGGCCAGGTGGAGCCGTGGCAAGCTCGAGTTTTACGCCTCCTGATGCCCTGAACAGCGAATGCGATAGGAGCCCTATCTACATTATAGTGCTAGGCCTTGGAATGCGAATGGTGTGCCGCCCGCGACCGTGCCGTGCCGGTGCCGTGCGAGTGCCGTGCCCAAGTTCTGGAATTGTGCCTGCCGCCCGAATGCCGTGGCGTGCCGAGCCCGTGCTGGGCGCACGCAATGTCAAAATTCTAGAATGCAGAAATTCCGCCTACGTGCCGTGCCATGCCGTGCCCGTGCCGTGCGCCTGCGCGCCGTGCCGTGCCTGTGCCGTGCGTGCCGTGCCCGCGTGCCGTCCGTACCCAAGAAGATCTACAACGCAAGAGTCTGCCGCCCGCGTGCAATGCCGTGCCGTGCCCGTGCCACGCCCGCATGCAATGCCGTGCCCCTGCCGTGCCCAATTGCCAGAAGGCACAGACTGTGCCGCCTTCGATCCGTGCCGTGCCGCGCCCGTGCCGCGCGCGAAAGGTTCCGTGCTATCCGCGCGTGCCGTGTCGTGCCGTGCCTACAACTCCAGGGCGAAAGCATCTTCCTCTTGAGCCCGGAAGAAGTCGGTTTCAAGTCAGGCACGGCCACGTATCAGAGGAACGGTGGCGGATCCTACTTTAAGTTTGCGCGGATCCGATTGTGGCGTTGACTTGTATTGCGGTGGATCCGATCTCTGTCTGAGCGGATCCGATATCGGTGCTTCGGGCTCCGCATCCCGTCCCATGTCGTACGTCGGATCCGATTTCTACCCTGCTGTCAATTTGCACCAGTAGGTTAAGCCAGGGAACCGACCGAAATCGGATCCACGGGCCCCAGGCCCGCACTTGTTCAGATTCGACGGGAAGGGGGGGCTCGCGCACTCTAGAAGCTCTCCGCGCGCGCGGGCCCCACTCAACATGAATGCAGCATGCATCTCTCTCCTCCTGGTTGCTGCAAGGAGCTGGTCCAGGCGCTGTCCGTTCGGCGGCGCCGATGTTATCTCGCGAACTCCTCGTCGCCACTTTCACCTCAAGCGAAAAATCTCTCGTCCTGCGTATGTGATTGCCAGAAGACCAAGCATACGCCGCCCGCGTGCCGTGCCGTGCCCGTGCCCGTGCCATGAACATGCCGTGCCCGCGCGCCGCGCCGTGCCGTGCCCGTGCCCGTGCCGTGGGCGTGCTGTTCCGTGCCCGCGTGCCGTGCCGTGCCGTCTGTTCCTGCAGCATGGCTTCTAAGGGTCTGCTTGCCGGCGTAGTCCGCCAGAGGTGCCGCGGCGGATCCAGCGCCAGTCCAGAACATCCGCGCGGGCCTCCGAAGGTTTACGCCGATACCACCTGCTACTCTTCGATCCTCCCAGGGCCTGGGGGCAATGAACGCGACCAAGTCTGGAGTTCACAAGAGCACAGCAGACTCCCCATAAACGTCTCACGAAACCTGGGCCGCTAAAACTAATCTTGGGACCGTCAAGTATCAATGGCAAAATCGAGCCGCTGATCCGCCAGAAGCGCCGCCAAAGGATCCAGCGCCGGTCCAATCAATCCGACTGGACTTCCGAACCTTAAAATTGGTGCTGTTTTTTGCTGTGATCCAGGGCTTCACCGAAGTCCTCCCGGATACTATGAGGCTTTCTTGGAAGCCCCTGGGCCGCTCTTGGAATCACCCTGCCTCCCCAAGGTCCCCCATTCTCCTTAGAAGGCCGCCCTGGCGACCCCCTGGTGCCCGCCGCCAAACGTTGGGGCCGTCGGAAAGACCAAGTCTGGAATTTGACGCGAGCCCCCTCCGTGAACGTCTCACGAGCGCGCAGAGCGCGCCAAGGGTTGCGCCAGAGATCCAGCGCCGATCCGAGACATCCGAAAGTGTGTATGTGTTTGGTGCCGTTTTCTCCTCTTCGATCCTTAGGGCCGTCGATGAACGGCATTGAGGAGTAGTGGTAGACGGGCAACGAGTCGCCAGTGCGCGGCGAGCCGACGCCCCAAGGCAACCCGGCAGCGACCTCTGCCACGGTCTCGGCAGCGCTGTCGGCCCGGCCCTTTTCGCCAGAGGCCTCGGCGGCCTGTCGGGGTTGCCAAAGGTTGCCCTGGCCCGAGATGCCCCCGACTTTTCGCTAAATTTTCGAACCCTTCAGGCCCTCTTCAGGAGCGCGCCAAGCGGTCAGCACAGACAAGGTAGCAGGCAGCAGGCTCAAGGAAAAGCATAGTGAAAACTCAAACTTATTGACTGATTTGTGTCCTCTCGTGAATACGCATTCGAAATCGCAAAGGATCGCGGAAAGGCGGCCCATGAGAGCGGACAACACCAGTCAGCAGCAAACTGGGCCGCAAGTCTCTGAGGATGAACATTGCAAGATCCAGCACGAAGGACCAGCTCGTGCTGACTGGCCAAGTCGTCCGCGACCCAACTGGGCCTCCCTGGCTGGGGCCTCCCCATGCCAGGGACACCTCTGCAGAGGAGCGCAAAACAGCCATTGACATCCGCCGACCCCCGCTTGCTGGAAGTGAAAAGGCGTGTGAAATATGTGGCTGTCCCCCTACCCCTTTCCCCCTCCCCCCAAGGTCCAAACTCGCGTTTGAGTGGGGTGGGGTGGGTCTCTCGGGACGGCTCTCGAAGATCTCTTGGGCTGTTTGGGGGGCCTCGTCAGAGCATTTTGGGGGGCCTCTCAAGGGTCTGGGGTGTGTTGGAGGCCTCTGGGGCGTCCTGGAGTTCTCTCGGAGGTCTCTGGCGGCCTCCTGCTCCCGCTCTTGGACTCATCTTGGGCCTGTTCTGGGGTGGTCTAGAGCTGTCCGGGGCGCCTCGTCGACAGTCTTGGGACCGTTTTGGCCCGTCTTGGGGCCGTCTTGGGGGTCTCTTGGGCGGTCTTGGGGGCCTCTTCCGCCATCTTGGAGCGTTGGAAGCAAGAAATGGTGAGAAAGCCAAAAACCCTGAACAAAAACAATGAAAATTAACCATTTGAGGTTCTCCGGGCGCTCTCGGGAGGCCTCTTGGAGCTCTCTTGAGGTCTTTTGGAGGTCTCCTGAGAGCCTGGAGAACCGCCAGGAAGCTATATTGGGAGCATCTTGGGCAATTCGTTTACGTTGTGGGGGCTTCTTGGGGTCGTCTTGGGCTGTCTTTGGGCATTGTGGGGGCTCCCCGGGAGGCCAGGAAGCGTACACGAGATGTGAGCGAGGTGGAGGACGCCCCGGGGGAGGGCCTGGCGCATGTGTGTGTGTATATATATATAAATATACCCAGGACCCCCCGCCCCGAAATCAGACCCCCCGAATCCCAGGCCCCCCGCACCCCTCTGAACCCCCCGGATCCGTGGCCCCGAGGACCCCCTGGACGCCCTTGCAGGAGGCCCACCAGGCGTTTCAATGCTCCTGGACGCCCTTCCTGGGCCTAGGCAACGGGCCCAAATGTGTCAGGAGTGCGGCCGAACGCCCTCCCAAGGGTCCCAGGAGGCCCCAGACACCCACAAGTCGCCCGAAGACGACCCCCAAAAGACCCAAGAGGCTATTGATTATGCAAAATTTGTTGCATGATTTTGGGAATGCCCTGCTCTTCGGTCTTCTGGGCGTCCGAGACCGCCTGGGAGGCTCGAAAGTCGCAAAAGAACCGTCCGAAAGGGCTTCCAGGCAGTCCAAGAGAGCCCCAAGACAGTACAACAGGGTTTCAAGATGGCCTCAGAGAGACCCATGACGGCCCAAGATGGCCCCGCGACACCATCCGAAGCATTCCAATTCGCGACCAGGTCGTTCAGGGAGGCCGCGGTTGGAGGCAGGGTGGCCCGCGGCACCCCCAAAGGCCCCCAGAAAACGCCCAGAAGGCCGCCCTAAGAAAGCTTGAACAACTTCCGCGAGGCCCCCAGAGGCTCTCCAAGGAGGGGCCTCCGCAAAAAGAGCTGAGGAGGATGGGGGAGAATTCGAATGGTAGGGCGAACATGAGGAAAAACAAACATGGAGGAAGGACACCGAAAAACATTATTATAACGGCGATGCCGGAAAAGGCCGCTAAATTGTCTATTTGACCTTCCTGCCATTCCGCCTGCATACGAAATTTCAAGGACCAAGGTGCATGGCGCGAAGCGCTGATGCAGTCTTGTGTAGTGTATCGATGGTTGTATGTACGTACGTACGTATGCATGTAATGCACATATTGAAATACACACATACATACATACGTGCGTACGTACATACATCCATACATACAAACTTGCATACATATACATATAACTATATACGTACATACAAATACATATACATAGACATTTACGTATACGTATACATATACACAGCTAAATACACACGCGTACACATACACATATACATATGCATGTACACCTACATATACATATACGTACACATACACATATACATATACCTATACATATATATATATATATATATACGTATATACGTATACAAATACACATACACATACATATACATGTACATGTACACCTACCTACACATACGCATATACTTATACATATACGTATACATATACATATACATATACATATACATATACATATGCATACACATATACACGTACACATGCAAGTACATATACATACACACACACACACTTCCACGCATGCATGTATGTATGCATGCATACGTATATGGGTATAGTCCATTCCAGATACCCGCACGCAGTATCCTTTATATCCACGCTTTCATGCGGTTCCCGTCCGCGTCAAATTCCCTGAACCTTGAGGGGACATACTCTGTCTCCAAGAAAACACCCTGCATTCAACAGATTCCGTCTCCAAGACAACACCTAGTACTCAACAGGCTCCCGCTGCAAGGACAACCCGTACGGAGTTGACTCGAATCCCAATCCGCAGGCCCGCCGCCCGCCCGCCCGCCCGCCGCCCGCCCGCCTTCCGCGTAGCACGCACCACCCTGTACTCAACACCCTCCGTCTCCAAGACAACACCCTGTAGTCAACAGCCTCCGTCTTCAAGGCAACACCCAATACTCATCAGGCTCCCGCTGCAAGAAAGAACCCTTGCAAATTTTATCAAAATTCCGCCCCGCCCACCCGCCCGCCGCCCGCCCGCCCGCCCGCCCCCCGCCCGCCGTCCGCGCAGCACATGCCACCCTGTACTCAACAGCTTCCGTCTCCAAGACAACACCCTGTACTCAACAGCCCCCGACCCCAAGAGAACACGCAGTACCCAACAGTCTCCCGCTGCAGGAGAGAAACCTTAGGGAGTTGATTAAAATCCCGACCCGCCCGCCGCCCGCCCGCTCGCCCGCCGCCTGCCCGCCCTCCCGCCTCTCCGTTCATCGCCTCATCCTCCTCCTCTCCGTCCACATCACCCGCCCCATCCGTGTACAGTAGGACAAGACTCTCGTTTTAGGACAGCAAATCGGGGAACCCTGAATGGACGATGCCGACATACATATATATATATATATATATATATATGCATGCATGCATGCATGCATGCAGACAGACAGACAGACAGACAGACAGGCAGGCAGGCAGGCAGGCAGACAGACAGACAGACACACACACACATATATATATATATATATATACATAGACACAGACATATATATATATATATATATATATATACACATATATATATATATATATGTATATATATATTCCTACTTATGTACTTTTATATGGCTGGGGACCCCGGACAGACCCCGGCCGGAGCCCCCCCCCCCCCCCAAACGAGTTTCGGGCTTCCCCGAGATCTTCGGGCGGTCCCAGAGGCGCCCCAGACGGCCCGAAATACTCCTAAGAGGGGTCCACGAGCGCTCCAAGACAGCCCAAGAGCGCTCCAGGAGACCCCAAGACCGCCCAAGACCGTCCAAGGGGGCCCCGAGACGCCCCAAGAGGCCTCCAAGAGGCGTCCCAAGAGGGCCCCAAGAGGGAAATGTAATTGATTTTTATATGGTTTTCAAAAATTGTCCTGGTTCTCCCATTTTCGGGCCAACATCGGCCCGAACCGGCCCAAGAGGCTCCAAAGATCGCCCCAAGATAGCCCAAAAGGCCCCCCAAAGAGCGCGAAAACGATCCAAGAGAGTTCCAAGACAGCCCAAGAGGGCTCCAAGACGGGCCCCAGAGAGCCCCCAGAGCGCCCAAAGAGGCACCCAATAGGGCCCCAAGACGCCGCCAGGGAGCCCCACGACGGCCAAAGGCCTCCAAGACGCTCCAAGACGGCCCAAAAGGGCCCCGAAACGACCCAAGCGAACCCCAACAGGGCCCTAAAAGGGATCCAAAAGGGCCACAAGAAGACTCCCAAGAGGCCCCAAAACGCTACATAACACCAGGGCTCCCAACACTGAGCTTCAACGGCACCCCCAGAAGCCTTCCAATATTTCTTTTCCTCCATCCTTCCTTTCTCCGAGGAAGAGGAAGAGGACACCTGAGGAAAGGAGAAGGAACAACAAGATGAGAACGGTGATGGCGGACACTTTTACTAAGAGCGCTCGTTGTTTCGATGGATCAACCTCTCTCTCTCTCGCTTTCTGTCTCATGTTGCCTGCAAGTTAGAAGTGAGGGACCAAGGTGCAGGGCGCGAAACGCCAGTGCAATCTTGCGTGTATATATATATATATAGATATGTATATATACGCCCCCCCAAGCACCCCCCCCAGGACAGCCTGGGGGGGAGGGGCATCCTCCTCATCATCTTTCTCTTCCTCATCCTGCTCATCTTCCTCCTGCTCCCTCCCATGATGTTCGTTTCCCTTCTCCCTGTCATGATCTTCAACCTGCGCTCCTTCCCACGGGGCAGCATTGAGGTACGCATCCAAAGGATGACAGGGGGAAGGAAGGATGGAGGAGGAGTAGGGGAGAGGATGGAGGAGGCCGAACGATGAGAATTCACTCGTTCCTCTTCCTGGCGCGGTGCTCCAGGTTCGCCGTCGTTCCGGGGCAGCGCTGGTCCTGCCAGAAAGGTTTTCCCCGCCTTTTGAAGGTTAACCCGCTCGCCCTCGAAATTGGGTCGCGCAAGGTCAAACACTGTTTCTTTTTGGTTTGACAAAAACAAAAAACAAAACAAGAACAAACAAAAAACATGTTTGACGCCCTCGATGCAAGGAAATGATGTGAGTGTGTGTGTGTGTTGTTTTGTTTTTTGTTTGTGAAACAACGAAGCAGTGTTTTTTCCGCGGCGGGCATGGGGGCTCGCAAAACCAAAAAAAAAGAATTTGGCGCCCCCGATGCAAGCAAATGCTGTGTATGTGTGTTGTTTGTGTGTGGTTTGGTCGATGAGAAAAAAACGAAACACTGTGTGGCTTTTTGTTTTGGGGGGCAGAGAGAAGGGTGCTGGTAGTGAGGCCGCGGCGAGCATGGGGGCCTGCAGCCCCGCCCCCCCCAAAAAGTGTTTCGTTGTGTCACAGAACTATATATATATATATATATATGTCCGCATGTGTATATATATGTGTGTATAGCACAACGTTTCCTTGCATCGAGGGCGCCAAGCACAGTGTATGTTTTGGGTGTATTGAGAGGCAGAGAGCAGAGTGCTGGTAGTGAGGCCGCAGCGATCATGGGGGTTTGCAAAACCCACCCCAAAAAGTGTTTCGTTTTTTTTTTTCACAGACCAGAACAAAAAAAAAACAAAAAAAAAAAAAAACAAAAAAAAACATACACAGCGCTTCCTTGCTTCGAGGGCGCCAAGCACTTTTTCTTGGTTTTGGGAGGCAGAGAGTGCTGGTAGTGAGGTCGCGGCGAGCATGGGGGCCTGCAAAACCACAACATCAAACAAACAAAAAAAAAACATCCCTTCGTTGCTTCACTGACCCCCCAAAAAAACAGCGCTTCCGTGCATCGAAGGCGCCAAACACTTCTTCTTTTGGGAGGCAAGAGAAGGGAGCCGGTAGCGAGGCCGCGGCGAGCATGGGGGCTTACAGAACCAAAGCAAAGCATACACAGTGTTTCGTTGTTTCATAAACCATCACAACCAGACGAACCAACAATACACAGCGTTTCTTTGCATCGAGGGCGCCAAACAGTGTTTTTCGTTTGTTTTGGTTTTGGGAGGCGGAGAGAAGGGTGCTGTTGATCAGATGCATGGAAGAAGTGGTATGGGATGCATGGGAGAAGAAGAGGAAGATGTATGATCATGTGTGGAAGGGGTGGAAGAGGAGGAGGATGAAGAGGAGAAGCATGAGAAGGAGGTATTGGTGGTATGGGGGGTGTTGGTAGTTTGGGGGGTGTTGGGAGGGGGCGACCACATATATACACATATATATACATACATATATATATATATACAGTGGATTATATGTATCTCTCTCTCTCTCTTTCCTTTCTCTCTCTATATCTCTCTCTCTCTCTCTCTCTCTCGTTTTATTGTGTTTTCTTTTTCTCTCTCTCTCTCTCTCTCTCTTTGTGTGTGCATATATACAGGTCTGTCTCTTCGACCAGCCCTAGTAACGGTGCGATTGCGGTACAAAGGGGATGAATGAGGTGACGGCGATTTCCTTTTTCTGGGTGGCGGTGCAGCGGGCCCTGTGCGCATGGGGCCTGCCACTCCCAGAAACTTCAGAAACTTGATGCCCCAGAATGATTGTGGGTTGACTTTTTGACACGGCCGAGCGCCTGAACCCACGTGGCCACAGACGCCGCGCAAGGAAAAGCATGCGCATTCGAGTTGGCACGGGGGGGCGTATCCTCGATGCGCCCTAACAGCGGTGCGACAGCGGTAAGATGGGATGAGCGATGTGACGGCGGTTCCTCTTTTATGGGCGGCGGTACCCGGGGCCCTGCACGCAGGGCGCCTGCCACCCCCAGGAACTTGATGCCCCCTTTTTGCGATGGGAGTGAGTCGTCAATGACACCGATGGGGGGGAGGTAGAAGACCCGGAGGTAAGAATGGGATACCGGGGCCCGAGCGTCGGGAGCCCGATCGCCGTCTTACCTCGCTCCTTCTTCCATCTTCTTTTTGCGACACTGCCACCGCTGCGCGCCGCTCGCACGCGCGCAGAGGCGGAGAGGCGCGGTCTCGAAGCCCTACCCCGCCTCCAGAGGATCCTCCGCAATTGAGGCCTCCTTCTCTCCTGGACCCCCGCCCCCGTCCGTGAAGGGCGAGGACCCCGAAAAGAAGGGAGGGGGCCCCCCGCCGCCGCGGGGCCCGCAAGCACGCCAGCCGCCGCTCGGAAACTTCCCATGCGCGAGGCCGCCGCCGAGCCCCGCCGACGCGGCCCAGGGCGAACGGCCGAAGGCCCTTGAGCGGGCATCTGTTCCGAGCGGCCACGCAGCGACAACACCGCGGTGCGCGGCGGGCGCCGCCCTCTGAACCGTTCGAGGGCTGCCACTTCATGGCCGGTGCCCTCTCCTGCCGCGGCGCCGCTGCGGCCGCTCCAGCTCCGTCCGCGCGACCTCGCCCGCGGCGCACCGAACGGGGCTTTTGCCGTGGAGCGGCCGCCCTCTCCTCGGCGTTCGGCCCGTGGTGCGGTGCTGCTTGGTGGCCAGCGTCGTCTCGTCGAGGTGGCCCCTCGTGTCCGCGCCCGGGCTCACCCCCTCCTGGCCAGGGCAAGCTTTGGCACTTGATGCCGGCCATGAGGGTCGCACGGAGCGCCGCCGCTCCCACTCGCCTTTCCTCCACGGTCGTCCGCCCCGGCTCAGTCTGCTTTTCTCCTGCGCGCTGGCATGGCAGGCGCCAGGGAGAGTACTCTCCTCGTGTCCGCCGCGGCGCGGCATCGAAGGAGCAGGCCCAAGGGGCACTTTCCGCGCCCAGCTGTTACTCTGAAGCGGTCGAGCGCCTGAGCCCAAATGGCCATAGACGTCGGGCAGCGAAGAGGGTGCATCTGCGTGTTGGCCCAGGGGGGCATGGATACAGATCAGCACATACCTATATCCGCCACCGTGCCTCTGGGCACGGAGTGGGCGTGTCCTCAGGGCACTTGCCTAATCCTCTAAGCCTTGATCCTCGCTCCCGAAAGGTTTTTAAAAAGCCTGGACCTCAAATTCCGAAATCTCCCGAGTGGTCACGTGTGCCCGGGCTCTGGGAAATGTTCTCGCATAAATTTTCCGGGCCCAAGAGGGCCCCAAGACAGGCCAAGAGGCCCCCCCAAAAGCCCCCAAGACGGTCCAAGAGGCCCCCGAGTCGCCGAACAATCGCTCCAAGGCGCTCAAGATAGCCCCCAGACGGCCCAAGAGACTTCCAAGATGCCCAAAGAGGCCTCCAAGAGGCCTCTCAGCAGGGCCCCAGGATGCCCAAATCATTGATTGCCCTATGGTTTTTGAAGGAATTGGGCGTTCTCGCCTTTTCGGCTTCCCGACGCTCCCAAACTCCCAAACGGCCCTAGAGGCCCCAAGACCGCACCAACACGGCCCAAGAGGCCTTCAAGAGAGACCTCCAAGAGAGCCCCAAAACGGCCCAAGAGGCGCCCACAACGGCCCAAGAGAGCCCCAAGACGGCCCCAATAGAGGCCCAAGAGAGGGAACACGACCTGAAAATCCGAACCTTTCATCCCAAGAAGCCCCCAGGAGGCCCCAATTCGACGCCCATGACGCACCACGAGGCCCCCAGGAGGCCCCCAAGAGGCCCCAGGACGGCCCCAAGAGGCCCCCAGACGGCCCTCAAGAGGCCCCCAAACGGCCCTCAAGAGGCGTCCCACCTGCCTCTAAGAGGCCCCCCGAGAGGCCTCCCACGAGATCCCAACCAACATCCAATAGACTTCATACCCATAACCTAGGCACGGTGGCGGGATGAGCCGAAAGCCATTATATATATATATATATATATATATACACACACACCTATATGACCACCGTTCGGAAAATAAGGAGGTTCGGGGGAGGAACCAACGTCTCACTCAATCGATCTCACTATCGATCTCACTCTCGACCTCACTATCGATCTCACGATTGATCTCACTATCGATCTCACTCTCGATAGCGCTATATATCTCAACAAGAAGGTCATTGGCGGTCTCACTATCGATCTCACTATCTATCTCGCTATCGATCTCACGATCGATCTTACTATCGATCTCACTATCGGCTGCACCACTGATCTGACTATCGACCTCACTATGGGACACCGACGGGGCACCATCGGGTCGGGACACCACGGCGGGACACTCTGGGCCACCGCGCCCAACCCAGGGGGAGGCGGTCCTTTTGCCCGGCGGCGCCCTAGCCAGAGGAGGGTTCATTCTTCTCGCCTGCCCACGCAGCTTCGCCTCGCGCGCGCGCGCGACACGAACACGAAACCGAGACCGATTTCCCCGTGGGGGGCTCTCCGTTTCACTGCGATCTCACCCCTTCAGCTCAGGTTTACACACACGGCATTTCCGTCTTGACAGCCAAGGGGCCCGAAAGATCGTCCCAAGGTGGCCGACAAGGCCCCCGAGAGGCCCTCAAGAGGCCCTCGTCAGGAGGGCCCCAAGACGGCCAAAAAGAGCCACAAGACGGCTCCAATGGCTCCCAATACGGCCCAAAAGAGCCACAAGATGGCCCTACTGCGCCGTGATGAAACACCGCGAATTCCGAAAGGATGGCGCAGCGTGGAGCAGAGATGCCCCTCTATCCGCGCGGAGCCTGGTACAAGGTGACCAGGGTGGAGCTGTTGCCAGCGGGGGGCAGGGCAACCTGGGGCTCGTCCCTTCGATTAGTTCTGAAGAAGCTAAACGAAGGTGATTCGAAAACGGCGAAGCGCGTGGAGCTTCCTCGCAAAAAAAGGTTCGAACCAGATTCAAAGATCGGTTCGACACAATAGACACCGGTTCGAAACAATAGAACTATTAGCATTTCGTGCGGGACTTCGTCGGAAACATGACTCAGCAATAGAACATTGAGCGCATCGTGCGGGACTTCCTCGAAAAGATGAGTTGGAACCGAGTTCGAAGCAATGGGAAAGCGAGCGTCCCGCGCAGCTTCGAAGAACATCTGATTTGGAGTTGGGTTCCAAACAGATTCGAGCCCAGCGAGACAAGATAAGATCACCGCAATTGCCAGAATGGGGCAAACTTTCATCACGCCCATGTACGAGGGGCCCGAGACGGCAGTACGAATTGACACGTCGAACATTTCCCCCCAAGATGGCTCCAGTCGACCCCCAGAGGCCCCCCGAGGCGCTCCCGAGAGCCCTCCACGAGGCTCCCAAGCAGCCCCCAGAGGGTTTTCGAGAATCCCCGAAAGAGCCCCCCAGATGCCGCCAACAGCCCCCCGAGAGGCCCAACCTGTGGGATCGGCGGAATGGCGTAGGCCTCTTGAATCAACTGTCGAAAGTCCGCGCGGGTTTCGTAGATCGGCGCTGGACCCCCCTGCCCTCTGGCGCCGCCCCTGGCGCGCAGCGTGTACGCCCGTGCAGTTCTTCCGTGCGACAGATCCTAAGCATGGGATTCTTGTTGCCAGTGTGACGCCTCCGCCTCCTCCTCCTCTTTCTCCTCGCCTCCTGCCTCATCCCTCTTCCCCACTCGTACTCAGCCGACTCGCACCCAGACCCGCCTACACGCAGCTCGCTCACAGTCAGGCTCGCCCACACTCAGGCTCACCCACACTTAGCCTCTCATACTCAGATTCACTCATTCTCACACTCACTCACATTCGGACACCTCCACACCCAGCCTTTCATACTCAGACCCACTCACGCCCAGACTCACCACTACTCAGAAATCCTAGGATCACCGCGATGCAGAAGTCACAGCAATTGAGCACCCCAAAAGGGGAGCCGCCGGGGGGCGTTGCACTCGCCCGTTCGCGCCCCGCTGCTGGGGAGCTCGAGCGAGGCGCTCGCTTCGCGGCTCCGACTCCCGCTCGCAGATCCTTCTGTGAGGATACCGCGGCCCCCCAAGGGGGAGCCAGCAATCACAGCCCCATGGCTGCCGCGCTGGAGCGGGCTAAGACTCTCTCGCACTCAGCCGCTCGCAGCAGGATGAGCCGCACGTTCACGTGCGGATCTCTGCGTCGAGACATCTCTTGCTCGACTCTGGCAGCACCCCGGGGGCCTGGAACTCGGCGGAGGGCGCGAAATCCGAGACGCCCGCGCCGGAGCCAGACTCCCTGGTATGGACGCCCGAAATGGGCAGGGGAAAAATGGGTACGATGCCCAGTGGCAAGCGTCGTCCAAAGCCGACAACGGCCGCTGTTGGGCAGGCGGCCTTCTGCCTCGAATGGACAACGTCCGCAGCAACGCCGACAGCGAGTCCTGTCCAGAATGAACAGGAACTGCTGTCGGTCTTCGTTCGGGGGGGAAACGGTAAGACTCTGGTTCGGGGGACTCGGGTTGGCCTGGCGGGGCGGCCAGGAAAATAACGAGACCCAGCCTGGAATTTCACGCGAGCTCCTGCTGCAGACATCCCACGAAAACTGGTCAAGATTCGGCACGGGCCCGTCAAGAAAGCGCTGGCAAACGCGAGCCTCGGCGAACTCGAGTCTTACGTTTCCCTGGTTCGTGCCCATTCTTTCCATACCCATCTCTGGGGAAACCAAGTGGCACCGATACCGTTACTCCCCGGGCCTCTCCCGGCGAGCGTTCTGAGCATAATTTCGAAGCGAGCCCAGCGGTGGTGACGAGGGCCTCCCAGGAGGCACAAAAAGGCGAAAACGAGGACAAGGGGTACGGATACTTCTCTCCGTGCCCACTTCTATCGTGCCGAAACCTGGCGGCGGACTGGCCGTCGGCCTCGGCGCGGGCGACGCCGAGGCCGAGAAGGCTGGCGGCGCGCTGCGGCCTGCGCAGGTGGGGGGGCGCCACCAGCACCAGCTGGCCCTCGCAGAGGCAAGGAACACCGGCACGAGCAGCGGAAGGCAGGCCAAAGTGCGCTCGGGTCTGGCTCTCCCCCAAAACGACCGATACCCTCCCGAAGCCCTGCCGAAAGCCTGCAGAAGGCCTCCCAGGACCCTTCAGGGAGGGTCTTCGGATGGTTCCGGAAGGTTTCGGCCAGTTTTCGGGGGAAGAAGCAGTCCCCAGCAAAACCTGCACTTTCTAAGAGTAGCGGGCAAAAGAACCGCACAACCCTCGTAATACGGCGAGGGCCGAGGGCATTGGGTAAGGATCTGGTGTCTGGAAGCTGGTGCCACCGCCCTCATCGCTAAGGAGCAAGGTCTGACGCCTCCTGGGCACATTCCTTACGAACGCCACCACCTTGAGCACCCTGGCAAGCGAAGACATTTGGCAACTGTAAAGGCAAAGAAGCGAACAGAGCAGGGCTGGTCAGTAAACGCCCAGGACTGTTCAGCAAACGCGAGCTGCGTATGGGGGTCCGGGTGTGTTTTCCTCCCTTGGCAAAGGTCCGCGCGGATTCCTGGGATCGGCGCTGGGCCCCCTGCCCTGGCGCGCGGAGCGTGCCGGTGGCGGCGCAAGAGGCGCCCAGGGCAGATCCAAGAAATTCGCGCCTTCGGAAGTCCACGTGCCCGCCGATGTTTCTCCTTCGACCTCGGCCGACGTGGGGAGCATCTCCGCGGCCAGGGCCGCGTCGTCGCCGGCGCCCGTCAGCCTCCTCAGCCGCTCCCTGGTCTCGCCGCTGAGCTGTGCAATCAGGCCCTCCGCGTCCATCCGCTCGACGCCGCGGCCCGAGGACTGCTGCGCGCTGACCTCTTCCAGGGCGACGTCGTGCTCGTTGGCGCTGGACGCGGCGCTGAGCCCGCCGGCGCTCGCCCTGAGGCTCTGATGCTGCTGGTGCCCAGTCTTGGCCTCCAGGATCTGGAAGCCCAGGGCGGCATGCGCTGCAACGAGCAGGGCGCAGCGGACGAGGCCACGCATGCTGCGATACGCAAGATGTTACGGTCTGCGAGTTTGCTCCGACAAGCGCCTGAGCCCAAACAGCTACGGACGGGGGCGGGGGGAGGAGGAACAGTCAAGAAGCAACTCCTGGGAGGCCTTCGTGGGAAAGAAGAACAAACCTACCAAACCCGATTCGGGGTCATTGAATCGGATTTCCGAAGGATTAAACCGGATTGGGCGGCATCGAATCTCCAGGAAATATCCAGGGTTGTCTCGGGGGCCTGCGGGCTGAAAGGGCCCCCTTGAAGTCCTCATGTAGCTTCGTGTGGATATGTTGGAATCATCTTGGGACCTCTTGAACCTCTTTGGGTTCGAGAGACCATGTATCATCATAATCATCCACCTCATCATCAGCAGCATCAGCATCATCATTGCCATCAGCATCATCATCAGCATCAGCATCGTTATCATCATCATCATCATCATCATCATCATCATCAGCATCATCAGCATCATCATCATCATCATCATCATCATCATCATCCTCATCCTCATCCTCATCCTCATCCTCATCCTCATCCTCATCCTCATCATCATCCTCATCATCATCATCATCAGCATCATCATCATCATCATCATCATCATCATCATCATCATCATCATCATCATCATCATCATCATCATCATCATCATCATCATCATTATCAGCATCATCATCACCATCATCACCATCATTGTCATCAGCATCAGCAGCAGCAGCTAAAACAGCACCAGCATCATCACCATCATGATCATCAGCATCAACATCAATATCATCAATATCGTGGTCAACCCCATTATCCTCATCGTCACCATCATCATGATCATCAGCAGCAGAATAATCAGCATTGACATCATCATCGTCATCAGCATCATCATCATCGTTGTCAGCATCATCATCATCAGCACCAGCACCAGCATCAGCATCATCAACAACAATCATCATCATATCAGCTAGCGTTGACTCCAAATAGATAGGAGGACAGGAGAAGGACGCGAGGAGGATGGGAGGAGGACGAAAGGAGGACGGGAGCAGGACGGGAGGAGGACAGGAGGAGCAACATCAAGCAAGCGCAAGCAAGCAAGCGGAAGCAAGCAAGCGCAAGCGAGCAAGAACAAGCAAGCAAGAGCCAGCGATCAAGTGCAAGCAAGCAAGGGCAAACAAGAGCAAGCAAGCGAGAGCAAGCACGCAAGAGCAAGCAAGCAAGTGCCATTGGAAAAAGGGGGGGTGCCATTGGAAAAAGGGGGGGGCATTGGAAAAGGAGGAGGGGGGCATAGGCATTGGCATAGGCATAGCCATAGGACTTAGGGGGGGCATAGAAATTAGGGGGGCAACGGACCAACTAGTAGGGTTTGAATTAGAACTCCTATGGGGGCAAGCCTATTTGGAGAAGTATCCTCATCATCATCCTCATCCTCATCATCCTCATCCTCATCCTCATCCTCATTCTCATCCTCCTCATCATCATGATCACCATCAGCATCATCGTCATCACCATCGCCATCATCAGCGTCAACATCAGCGTCATCATCATCATCCACCTCTGCGGAAGTGTCCTGACGTGTTCTGATCATCATTATGAGTTGCTAGATGGCTGGGTGCTTGGATTAGCTTTGGTACGCAGAGGCCTGCGTGCAGGCCAATAGTATCGAGGCTCACAGCGACAAGGCGCAGAGTGGCCAGGAAAGGGAGGCAGCAGGAGGATAAATCTGGAAGGCTGGACTGATCCTCCCCCTGATAATCCTTCTCCTCCTCATCATCCGCCTCCTGCCTCCTCCTCCTCCTCTTCTTCGTCCTCCTCCTCATCCTCCTTCTCCTCATCCTCCTCCCAGTCATCCTCCAGACGGAACGACAGCCAAATGCGGGCGAGAAGAAGGCATGGTTGGAGCCCGTGACGCTCGGTAACTACGCTCGGTAACTAGAGCGGCTCGGTCCAGGGCGCTAGATTCATACGCACACCACCTTGGGAGGATAATGTTCAGGACGAGCAACAGAGGGAGGAGGGGGTGGATGGGGGAGGAGAAGGAGAAGAGTGAGAAGTGGGAGGGAGAGGAGGAGCACAACGTGTCTTGTACAAGATTCGGAAGGCTGGGAGTCCTGCTTGGAAAATCTTCGCGGATCCCAAGGCGCCAGGCATCGATACATGCGGTGTACCCTTGTACGTATCGCATGATGGCCGGCATACAGCAGCATACTGAGGAAACGCTGCTGTGATCGTTTCTGCTATGCTGTGACGCCACACTGGCGAGAAGCAGAACATGCATGCAAAGCAGCTCAAGGAGGCAAGGCGAGGCAGACACGAACGTGCGATGGCCTTGCTGGTCGCGAGCTCAAAGGAACTATGTACTCGCTCCACGCACGCACGGACGGTTGGGTATGGCCTCGCACACAGACAAACAATTCGTGAGTCTTCGCGCACCGTTAGTGCTATTTTGCACTTGGTATGAAGAAGACTTCAAGCAATAGCTGATTCATCATGTATGGGCGCGGCGATCGCAGCCTCTGTTCACTGTGCCTTCAGCACTCTGCTGACCACCTCCCCGATGCTCAGGATGTCTTCGTCGGTCAGCCTCGTGGACGCACAGAAGCGCAGGCTGGCGGCCGCCGTCACCTGTGGGATCAAAAAGAGTGCCGACACCGCTGCTCCCCAGACCTCTCCCAGGGAGCGGTCCGACTCGGATTCAGAGGCGACCCCAGCCGTGGAAGCGATGGCCCCCCCCCAGGAGGCCCAAACAAGGCGACAAGAGGGAAGGGCATTGGTATCGCTGTGCTCTTCCTGACGAGCGCGTTCCACTACTCGCAAAGTCACTACTCGCAAATGGCCTGCATCTCCCGCGGAGGATCTACGATAGATTACATCAGAGCGGACGTGCGCTTCTCGGACGTCTGCGAGTATAGGCACTTTGCGAGCAGTGGAACGCGCTCGGTGGTTCTCGTCCGAGACACCGGCGCCCCCACACGAGCGCCGAAGGCGCCCTCCGCGTGCAGGCGGCTGGGCGAGCAGACCTGCGCGCGCACGCCGGCCGCCGCGCAGCGAGACGCGATGCCGAGCAGCTGCTCCTCGGCGAGGTCGGCCGCGCCGGTCCAGCGGAGGTGCTGGACGTAGGACTCCGGGCTGCCGGTGAGCTCCAGGGCCGCGCTGCTCGCAGCCACGGCGGCCCGCAGAGCCCCGTGCAGTGCCGCCGCCCGGGCCCCGAGCCGGGCCACCTGGGCGACGAAGAGAAGCGGCTTATTACGCGAGATGGGAGGGCGGGTTCACGCCCTGTGTGGTGGCCTATGCAGGCCGCCAGCGCGGAGCGCTACATTGGAGACGTGGGCGCTTGCGCGCGACCTTACGCGGGAAGACCCCGTTTTTCTTGGCGGCGCGCACGAGGGGGTGGCGCAAGGGGGGGGGCCTTCCAAGGAGGCGGCGCGCTTCTGCGAAGGCAGGGGCCTTCTGAGAAGGGTCTGGAGGCTTCCAAGAAGGCCCCCTGGAAGCCAGGAGGGCTAAGAAGGCCCCTGGCTTCCTCGGAAGCTTTCCCGCCTTCTCGGAAGGCCGCCTCCCTCACGCTGCCCCCTGGCGCGCGCCGCCAGCTTTCTGCGTCGCCCACCTGGGCCGCGCCCTGCTCGCTGGCCAGTTCCGCCATCATCGCGGTGGCCGCCGAGCAGGCCGACGGCGGGCACGCCGCCGAAAAGCAGTAGCCCGCGCCCGCCAGGCGCTGGTGCTCCACCAGGCCTCGCCTGCCCGCGCAGAAGCCCCCGACCCCGGCGACGGCGTGCTCGAGGGAGCCCACGATGGCGTCCTGAGGGACAACGACCGGGGGGGGACCAGCTCAGTGGGGTGCAAGCCTCGAGCCTCGATCGGCGATGCATCGCCGACAGATCGGTGAGAGGCCCCTTAGAGCAAATGCTCGCGTTCCAGGGCGGCGTGGGGCGAGCAGAGCCCTGTCGGCGATCCGTGCGCGATTGGGGGTCGACGCGATCCCCCCGTGAGCCTGCCCCCCCCGAGTCGTTGCCCCTGACGTCCACGCTGCCCGTCGCCACGCCAGCGTGCTCGCAGAGGCCGCGGCCGTGCGCGCCCAGCGTGCCAAAGGAAAGCGACTCGTCGAGGACGAGCAGCGCGCCGTGCTCCTCCTTGAGCCGGACCAGGTCTGCCAGGGGCGCCACCAGGCCCGTGCGCGGGCACAGCGCCTCCATGGGACGCATAAGGGCATACTAGCACCATGTGCCTCTGTTGGAGACGCACGTCCGATCCGAACATGGAGTACAACATCGTGTGGCATGCCGTTTCTCGAACGGGATGGCCAGAACGCGCCCGCCACAGAGCTGACACTATCAGATTTCCGAGCGTGCGCGTCGCCATTGCCCGGTCGACGCGCAATTAACATAAGTACGTTTGCGTGGTGCCGACCTCCACTATGATGAAGGTGCGCCTGAGCTTGGCCGCCGCCTTGGGCCCCTTGCCCGCAAGCGGCGGCGGCTCAGCGAGCGCGGCCCTGACGCCCGCCAGGCTGCCGTGCTCGACCCAGCGCACCTCCGCCCTGCAGAGGCGCAGCCCGGTCCTGATGCCGAGGCTGGCCTCGGAGTCCACCACGACCCGGTCTCCGGGCTGCACGAGCGCGGGGAGCACGCTGGACATCGTGGCGCAGCCGGCGGAGTAGGAGATGGCGGACTCCGTGCGCAGGAAGAGCATCAGTGCCTTCTCGAGGTCCATGTGCGGCATGGTGGACCCGTAGAACCCCCGCGGGCCGCACGAGCCGAAGCCGTACTTCTGCATGGCGCTGCTGATCGCCTGGCGGGCCGCCTCTGGCGGCCTCGCCGACCAGCCGAGAGGGTCGAACAGGCGCACGTCCAGCCCGGCGCCCCTCGGCTCCGCAGCCACCGCGGCCTCCAACGCCAGCGCCTGGATGCCCTCCAGTGCCGGCGCCGCGGGGGCCACTGCTTCGGGGGCCCACGCGGCGGCGGCCTGGGCAGGCGGCGCGAAGCCACGGAGCTCCAGGGGGGCGGTGCGGAGCCAGGCGGCGTAGGCGGCATCGAGCTCTGCGCGGGCGGCAAACTCCGCGCGGCTGATCGACTTCTCGAACAGGACGCCGATGCTCCTGCCGATCTCGGTCACCGTGCTCACGACCTCAGCCAACTGCTGCCTCGTGTGCGACGCGGAGATGCAGAAACGGACCCTCTCGTACAGAACGGGCACGGCCGGGTAGCCCACGATGACGACGGCGATCCCCCGCTCGAGACAAGCGCGGGAGAATTTCGCCATCTTGTTCGGGTGGTGGAGCATCACCGGGACGATGGGCGAATCGACGTCACCCAGCACCTTTTGGCATGAAGGAGAGGGGTCCTGAGAGAAGCGGGTCCCGGACCCAGGCGGGGCTTTCCCCAAGACCAACTTTTCATCCTGAATTGTTTTCTGACGTCCCTGGGGCGCGGGGAGAACCTGGCGCCCAGAATCGGCAAAAACCTCCCGGACCCACTTCCCTCAGGACGCTTGTCCTTCCGCGGTGAACCTTGAAGCCCTCCTCCTCCAGCCGGGTCCGGAAGAAGTTCGCGTTGTCCCGGATCTGCGCCAGCTTCTGCGCGCCCACGCTGCCGCCGATCTCTCCCGTGATGAGCCGCAGCGCCGCCAGAGCCTGCGCAGCGCACGGGGGGGCCATGGCGGAGGCGTAGGCGCTGCCGGGCGCGTTACGCCGCAGCGCGCTGATGACCTCCTTCGACGCGGCGACGTAGCCTCCCGCGCTCCCAAAGGACTTGGTGAAAGTGCCCATCATGACGTCCACCTCCGCCGTGGGCACGCCCAGCAGTTCAGTGACACCTCGACCCGTGGCGCCCACCGCCCCGATCGAGTGGGCCTCATCCAAGTACAAGTACGCCTTGTCCGCCAGCGTGCCCCCTGGCACGTCGAGGCATGATGGAATACCATTTGCTGCATGTGAGGTTCTGCAGCCTCCCGCACCTCCCCACTCTTGCCTGCGTGCATCGCCCCTCATTTCCAGAGATGCCCAAGATGGTTTCCAAGACGTCCCAGTCAGGCCACAATAGCTGCCGAGATGGCTGAGTATTGCTTCAAGAGTGACCCAACGTCTCCCAAGAAGACCCCCAGGGTGCTCACGAGGCCCCTAGAGGCTTCCAAGACACCCCCAAAACACTTTTCAGGAGAGCCTCAAGGGGACCAAACCATTGCCTTTCAACTCGGGTGTTTCAATGACTTTCGCTTCCAGTGCTCTGCGGTCGAATTTCGCTCCACTTGTCAATCGGGTCCTAGACGGCCCACGAGAGCCCCAAGCTGGCCGAAGAGGGCACCAGATGAGATCCAACACGGGCCCAAGCTCTTAAGAAGCGCCCAACATGTCCCAAGAGGCTCCACGACACCCCTAAGGCGCTCGCCAGGAGGGTCTTGAGAGGCCAAACGCATTGAGTATCCTTTGTTTTCCACTTTGTTTCGCTTCCACGCTCTCGGTCGAAGATCGGTCCACCCGCGGTCTTCGATGGACTGGGGCCCCTGGTCGGCTCAGGACGGCCCTAATAGAGCCCCAAGCTGGCCTAAAAAGGCCTAATTACAGAGGGACCCAAGACGGCCTGAGAGGGCCTTCAAATGGCACAAAAAGACCCAAACACGGCCCCATGACGGCCCAAAGCCTCTGAGAAGCCCCCCTAAATATATCCGAAAAAGGCCTTCGAGAGGCTCCACGACACCGCCGAGGCGTCTCTCGAGACTCCGAGCACATTGGTTTCCACTTCAGTTGTCGTCGTCGTTGTCGTCGCTAGTTCCAAGGAAATTGAAGAGCCAGAAAAAGGAACGTCGTAGTCAAGTCGATTCCCTTCCCTTTGTCCCTTCCCTGACGGGGAGGTGGGGGGGGAGGGCAGGGCGCGGGTTTGGCTCCAGGATCAGCGTACTGCCCCCCCTGGCGGGTCCCGGAGGGGGGTCGCCAGCGGGGGTCCCCCGAAGGAAGGACGACCCGCCTTCAGGGTCAGCGGCAACGGCCGTAAGGCCTCCGCAGTATGTCCGAAAAGGCCTTCAAGAGGGTCCAAGACACCCTCGAAAGCGCGTCGAGACTCTGAACACAGTGCTTTCCACTTCGGTGGTTCGATGCTTTCGATTTCCACGCTCTTCTGTCAAATATCGGTCCACTTGCGGTCTTCGAAGGCCCATACATGCCCACTGAAGCCCCAAGAGATCTCCTAGTCGGCCCAGGACGGCCGGCCCCAAGAGAGCCCCAAGCTGGCCCACGACAGCCCCACGAGACCCCTTAGACGGCCAAGAGAGCCCCCAGACGGCTGAATCAAACCTCGAGACGGCCCAAGAGGGCCCCGAGATGGCCCCAGGGGACTGCAGTATTACCAGGAGCCCGAGACAGCCCAGGACGACCCAAAGAATCCTCGCGAGAGCTCCCCAAGAAGTGGAGACGAGGGTTGCCATGTTCTCACATATGACGGCCCTGGTCGTCACGCAGAGCGGTCCGCTGGCACGGTGTAGGTCTTGCCGCAGGCATCTGGATAGCGGTTCTTCAGCGTGACAATCTCGCGCAGGCGGCAGAAGTCTCCCTCCATCGAGTAGATGCCCTCCACGACGATGAACACCTTTCGCCAGGGCTTCCCGCCAGGCTGCCCCTCCTCCGCGGCCCTCCGCAGCTGGGCCTCCAGGTCGCCCATGTCGTTGTGCGAGAAGGCACGGACCGTGGCGCCGGAGAGCCGCACGCCCTCGACGATGGACCGGTGGTTCAGCTTGTCGCTCAGCACGAGCACCCCCGCGCCGCCCGCCCTGGCTTCGAAGAGTGCGGGCAAGACCGCGGAGTTCGTCGCGAAGCCCATCCCGAGCACCATGGCGTCCTCCTTGTTCAAGTACTCCGCGATCTGCTTCTCGAGCTCCAGGTGGACGGGCATGGTTCCACCCTCCGTGCGCGTCCCGCCCGCCGAGAAGCCGCTCTCCAGGGCGGCGGCCCTGGCCGCGGGCGTGCAGAACTCGTCGACCCCGCCGAAGCCCAGGTAGTTGTACGACGCCAGGTTCACGCATGTCGTCGTGCTGCTGGTGCACTGGAAGTCGTGCAGCGGCCTGAACCACAGGCCGCCGCTGCGCTCCCGCGTCACGACATCGACGCTGGCGTCCGGGGCGGACGCTATGGGACGATTGAAGCAGTCAGCAATGTTCTTGTACATGTGCTGAAAGTAGAACTCCACCCACCCTGAGTTCCACTGATCTCGTGCAATGTACCTCTTCGCCGGCGCGCTCCCGCACAGAGCCCAGACCCTGATGATGTACTCTCGGACGGCCCCAAGCACAAACAGCCTGAGGTAGCCCCAGTACGCGTGGGCCTCCATAGAATGGCAAAGCTCAGGGCTGCGCGCAGACAAACCCCTCGGAGGTGGTCACGGCTGGCCTCAACTGCTGGCCCCCAGGGTGGTCAAGGGGCGCCCCCGACTCCCTGGCGCGGAGCGCCCAAGTTGGCGCCGCGGGGTGACCGCCCTGGACCACCCTGAAGGGGCCTGCTGAGACCAGTCGGGACTGCCCCTCTGCGCGCAACCCTACGGTCGGGTGTTGCTAGAAGCGCCCCTGGCCCAAGGTGCCCCCAGCATTTCGTTCCATTTGGGAGCCCTGGAGGCCCTCTGGGCCTCGCGAGGGGTGCCCTGGAGGCCGTTTGGGCCGCCCCGAGAATCCTGGGGGTACCTTGGGCCAGGGGTACCTCTAGCAACACCCGATACGGGGAAGCTCCAAAAGCACGCGGCCGGACCCACACGCGGCAAACCACGTGGAGGCCACTCGCTGGAGCACGCGGAGGGCTGGCGCGCACGGCCTCGCAGGGGCCGAGCGCTGGAGAAGCCTGGAGCGCGGGGTTCTCGCCCTGGCTGGCCACGTCTTGTGCATTCAGAATCCTGACATCCAGACCTCCAATGCCTTGCTTTCTTCAGCACGAGGGCCCCCGACATCTGAACTACTTCCTGGGGTGCAATTTTTCGTCCTGCTGATCGCGCCCTGCCTCGAAAACAACGCCGTGTGGGCCGAAAATGTGGAAAAGCTCGGCCTTGATCTTTTCACGACCCAGAGGCCCTGGGAAAGCCCTACCATGCCTCCACCGCGAGGCCCATGCTCTCTCTTCCGCCAACGCACAAGAAAAAAGCAAGCGTGATGTCCCCGAGCTTGCTACATAGGAAACGCGCAGCCGATCGATTTGTGAGACCAGAGAGGTGCGGAGCAAAACTCCAGCGCGGTCAGGGCTGCCCCTGACCCCGAGAAGGGGGGGAAGAGTAGGAGGAGGACCAGCAGCAGGAGGAGGCAGGAGGAAGCAGGGAGGAGGAGGATGAGGAGGAGGAGGAGGAGCAGGAGGAGGAAGCAGGGAGGAAGCAGGGATGAGGAGGAGGAAGCAGGGAGGAAGCAGGGATGAGGAGGAGGAAGCAGGGAGGAGGAGGAGGAGGAGGAGGAGGAGGAGGAGGAGGAGGAGGAGGAGGAGGAGGAGGAGGAGGAGGAGGAGGAAGGGGGAGGAGGAGGAGGAGGAGGAGGAGGAGGAGGATGGGGGAGCAGGCACGGCATTGGCAGCGCGGCGGCCCGCCAGGACGGCTGCCCGCGATCACACGAGATCGCATCCTGAAGCTCTCCACCATCGCCTCCGTGCCCCTTTTTCTGAGCTTCGAGGCCTCATGGCCCCTTGTGCCAGTGCTGACACCAAAACCAGGAAACGCCTTGGATATGCAATTTGACAATGCAGACGTCTTCATTGTACTCAGCTTCCGATCAACATCGAGGGTGCCGAGTTGCTTATAGGCTGTTCGCAAACAGGTGGCAATATCAAAAAAAGGTGTCTGCAGTGCATGGTGGAAATCTTGAGTCAGGTCAATTGGGTAAAAATGCGACCGAAGTCATGGTACATGCAAAAGCTTCTGCCGTGGATACACACATACACTTGCCATAACGTTTGGTGGGGACACGTCGGATGCGTGATGCATACACAACGTCAATCTAGTACAAATCAAGTGCTCAGAGACAATTCCTGCCGTGTGTTCCCGCCACCCCCGTCATACCCTCCAAATTCGGCTCTGCCACAATACCGCCACCCCTGGTCACTCCAAATGAAAAAGAGGTCCTAGAGGCCAAGGGATGCTGCCAACACGCCTTGGATGCCATAGACTATAGCAGCGAATCCGAGGCTCGGGACTCCTGCATAGAAACTTTGCGTGCCTTTTGTAACACTGGTGCGGTTGGCACCCCCGCAAAATTCGAGCCCTTGCTCACGCATGCGCACTCCGATGGCACTCCCACACTTTCTCATCCGAGGCATTTGGCTTCAGGCGCCAACGTTAGACTCATCAGCATACAGAACAAGCGGGAGTTGAATGGAGTTGAAGGCACACTTGGCAAGACAAATGACGATTCCTTAGAAGCTACTCCTCGGAACCAGAAGCATCTGAGCCAAGTGCGACACTATTGAACTCGTTTTTAAGTCAAAACACGTTTTGCATTCAGAGTTCATGCAAACTGTCGCTCAATTTCAATACATGTTCGAGCCTCCGCTTGACAAGTTATTCAATACGCTTTGGAGCGAAATTGCCCAGGCAGGCGACGCGGAGCAACTATATGCAGAGGCATGTGCACATACAAAACTGTTTGACTGCTAGTATGGCAATCGAATCGGAGGGGCAGAGCGCACCTAACCCCGAACACTTTCATGTTGTTGCCATCTCCCTTGCATCGTCTCTCCATCTTGTCCATCTTCATTGTCATCATCGCGCGTTCGTGCACGGCACGTCATCCTACACGTCACATCTTATGTTTCTACACATCTGCAAATAAGGCCCCATTTTTTGGTCTCCATGGGTCCACCGTGCCAGCCTTATGGCAGGAACGAGACGGTGAGTGCTTCAAAGGGTATTTCAAGTTATTCTTCGTCACGTCGTTCCGTCGTGTATGCTGGTGCCCTTCCTGACAGCACACACCACAATAAGAGACGTTTCTGTCTTGTGGTTTGGGTGGGATGGTGTCGGAGTGACGGGTGGCGGGTATGGCGGGGGGCTCTGTCGCGAAGCTGGCACCGCCAGAAGGCATCGCCCCAGTACTGTTTCGGCAAGGCCGAGCGATTGGAGGATGGAGAAGGTGGGTCGGATATGGAGGCTAGGAGGTGATGATCGTGCGGGTATGATGCAGTGAATCTCGAGCAGCCTGCACTCATTGAGTAAACTTCTGCTGTGTTTAAGTTGCCGTATCAGCTCACGGCACCACCAAAGGCATCTTCACATTGGCCTTTTCATCGAATATGCGTGATCTGCATTACTATTATCACGGCCATGCAGCATCCTTCTTTTCTATCTGGACCTTCGCAGGCGCAGTTGATCACCAACTAGTGGGGCGCAATTGGCGCGTCGATTACCTCTCACGTCGGTCCCCAAACATGTTTCCAAAGGCTGCGAGCATCCAGAAGACAGTGAAACTGAGCTCCACCACCTACCGCTCGTTGCCTTTTCTTGGCGGTAACTTAATGTGTGCATTCACGGATGCTGCTATGACATATTGTACGGTAGAAGTGGAGGAGGAATGAGGAGGAGGGATGAGGATGGAATATACCCTGGCACCGCACCCAATGGCATCAGGCCATCGGCAGTTTCAGAAAGATGAGCGCCAGCAGACACGGGCCAGCAAGCGAAGACTGGGCCAGCCTCTCGCATGCACACAAGCTGTGGTACTCTTGACTTTGGCAGGGGTGGGTCGAGGTAAGGTGGTGGATCATACGGAGGAGGAGTACTTATGGTTCGTGTCGTGCCGACTTCGGCGTTGGTTCCTGACACAGCGGGGACCGTTCAACCTTGAACAATCGGCGGCTCCCGAAACGTCAAGTCGTTCAACTTCGACCCATTCTGGGTCGCCGGCGGCGTTCAACGTTGAAAGCTTTCGGCGGGGTCGCCGCCGGTCGACACGACACGAACCTACCGTAACGCACTGTACCCAGGCCCCTGGGTGAGGGCACGTCTCTTCGCAAAGCAGCTTCCAATTTTGTGATGCACGTGCATCGTCCGTTTCCCCTCCTCCTATTCATCATCTGATTACTAAATAATGCGATGTTCACGGCCTTGCATCATTCATCCTTCGCTTCTCTCTGGACCTTCGCGGGCGCACTTGATCACCAACTAGCGGCCCGCTTTTGGCGCGTCGACTGCCTTTCACGTCGGTCCCCAAACATGTTCCGGAGGCTGCGAGCATGCGGAAAGCAGATCAACGAACGTCTATGCGTATGGACCCTGGCGCCGCATTCGCATTTCAGTGGCATCAGGCCATCGGCAGTGTCGGCGAGATGAGCGCCAGCAGACTTGGACACAGGCCAGCCAGCACAGACTGGGCCAGCCTCTAGCATGCACACCAGCTGTGGTACTCTCTTGACTTTGGCAGGGGTGGGACGAGGTGAGGTTAGATCCGAGGGGCGGGGGGAACAGCACACCGCGTCTGCCTAAGCTACACGGTTATACCTGTGCACTGCCTTTCCCCTTTTACTGACTTGCACGCGTACTTCGTCCACTCTGTACGGTGTCTTCCCTCCTTCCCTCGTTGTGATTGTGCATACCTCGATTTCTTCGTCGACCTCCTCCCCTCTCGTACTGCGTGGCGAGCGCACACTCAGTGTTCCTGCGGGCCTCTTTCTGTGGCTTCTCTCTGTCGCCTTTCTGCCTACCCACTGCACACGCCATTTCTGAGCTGAATTTGTTTGGCTCTCTCGCCTGAGTCGGCGATTTCTTTAGCTTTCACGCAACGGGCCCGCCTCACTTCCGCTCAACGTCAAACAGGGGGAGGAGGAGGAGGAGGAGGATGAGAGAGAAGGAGCGATCCCCAGACGCCCCCCCGCAACTTCACCGGGGAGAAGGAAGGCCTCACTTCCGCTCAACGTCAGACAGTCAAACAGGGGGAGGAGGAGGATGAGAGAGAAGGAGCCATCCCCAGACGCCCCCCCTGCAACTTCACTGGGGAGGAGGACGGGGGAAGGGCCAAGCCTCCACCGCGAGGCTCATGTGTATGCGCTCCGGCTTCGCGGGCGCCCCCGAGGTGGACGGCGCCGCGGACGCTGGCTTCCCGCGCCTGGGAGGGGCCCGAAGTGTCTGGGGGGGCCTCCTCCTCCTCCTCTTCCTCCTCCTCCTCCTCCTCCTCCTCCTCCTCCTCCTCGTCCTCGTCCTCGTCCTCGTCCTTCTCCTCCTTCTCGTCCTCATCCTGGTCCTCCTCCTCCTCCTCCTCGCCTGGTCGGCCAAAGAACTCGGTCCCAGACATCCGACGTCTTGACTTTAGTCCATACGTGATCCCAAGTAACCCCGACCCTTGCCCCAGGACC